GGGGTTAGCTCTTCCTTAACTGTTTTATAAAATTCTCCCATGAACCATCCGGTCCAGGGACTTTTGTGTGCCAGCAGCTTTTTGAGGATTGTTTCAGCTGTTATCGGTCTGTTCAGGCTTTCTGCTGCTTCTTCATTCAGTGTTGGAAGGTTATATTTTTTGAGAAATTTGTACATTTCATTGAGGTTTTCAAATTTCTTGCACTATAAGTGTTCATAGTAATTTCTCACAATCCTTTGTAGTTCTGTGGTATCAGTTGGTATTTCTCCTCTTTCATTTCTGATATTATTTATTTGGGTCCTCTCCCTTTTCTTCTTGAGGAGTCTGTTAAAGGCTTGTCGATTTTGTTTATCTTTTCAAAGAACCAGCTCCTGGACTTATTGGTCCCTTGAATTATTCTTTTAGTCTCTATGTCATTCAACTCTACTCTGATCTTGATTATTTTCTTCCATCTACTTCCCCTGGGCTTTGTTTGTTGTTATTTCTCCAGTTCTTGAAGACATCGGGTTAGGCAGTTTACTGGAAATGTTTCTCTTTCAGGTAGGCCTGTATCGCTATGAACTTCCCTCTCGGGGCTGCCTTCGCTGTGTCCCATAGGTTTAGGAATGCTATGTGTTCATTTTCATCTGTTTCCAGAAACGTTTTGACTTCTTCTTTGATCTCCTTATTGACCCATTCATTGTTTAATATCATGCTATTCAGTCTCCATGAGTTTGAAAGTTTTTGAGTTTTTCCTTGAGGTTGGTTTCCAGTTTCCAACCCTTGTGGTCCAAGAAAATCCTTGTTATGATTTCAATTTTCTTGAATTTGTTCAGGTTTGTTTCGTGTCCTATCGTGTGGTCTATCTTTGAAAATGATCCACGTGCTTTTGAAAATAATATGTATTTTGCTTCTTTGGGATGAAAAGTTCTATATATGTCAGTTAAGTGCATTCGATCTAATGCGTCGTTCAGTTCCACAAGAGCCTTGTTGATGTTTTGTTTCAAAGATCTCCCCATTGTTGACTGTAGGGTGTTAAAATCCCCTCCTAACAGTGTGTTGCTGTCTAATCTTTCTTGATGTCCTCGAAGATTTTCCATATATATTGGGGTACTCCCATGTTGGGTGCATATAAGTTTACAATGTTTATGTCTTCTTGATGGATTCTTCCTTTGAGTATTATGAAGTGCCCTTCTGGGTCTCTTTTTATGGCTCTTGTTTGGAAATCTATTTTACTGATACAAGTTTTGCTACCCCTGCTGTTTTTTCCTGCCCATCTTCTTGGAATAATTTTTCCTTCCCCTTACTTTCAGTCTGTGTAGGCCCTTTGTTCTGAGGTGTGTCTCTTGTGGGCAGCATATGCGCAGGTCATGTTTTCTTATCCATTCAGCTACCCTGTCTTTTGATTGGAGCATGTAATATACTTACCTTTGAAGCTATTATGGATAGGCACTTACTCATTTTTTCCCTTTGTACCTGTGTTTCTCCTTCCCATTCTTTTTCTTCATCTTCTTAAAACAGTCCCTTTAGCATATCTTGTAGTGCTGGTTTGGTGGAGGTGTATTCTCTTAGCCGTCTTTTGTCTGGGAAACTCCTTATTCTGCCTTCCATTTTCATTGAGCACCTTGCTGGGTAGAGCAGTCTCTGTGGCAGGCCTTTGCTTTTCTTAACTTGTAATATTTTTTGCCATTCCCCTCTAGCTTGCAGTGTTTCCGTTGCGAAGTCAACGGCCAAGCATATCAGGGTTCCCTCCTTTGTTTCTACCTCTTTTCTCCCTTGCTGCCTTGAGGATTCTGTTTGTCTTTGCGATTTGGATTTGTCATTTTAATGAGGATGTGTCTTGTAGTGGGCCTCATTGGGTTCCTCCTGCTTGGGACTCTCTGTGCTTCTTAACTTGTGTGACTTTTTCTCTCCTCCAATGAGGGAAGTTTTCCATCATTACTTTTTCAAACAGGTTCTCTATCACTTGTTCCTCTTCTCCTTCTGGTATCCCTATTATACGGATATGATTACATGTCCGGTTGTCCTGCATTTCCTGAAATGTCTCTTCATTCTTTTGGAGTCTTTTATCAATTTCTTGGTCTTTCTGGGAGCTTTATTCTACCTTGTCCTCCAACTTACTGATTTGATCCTTGGCTTCATCTAGCCCGCTTTTGATTCCTTCCACTATGTTCTTCAACTCTGAAATTGTATTCTTCACTTCCTCTCGACTCTTCTTGATAGTTTCTATGTCCTTTCTTTTTTTTTCATACTCTGGTTTCTCTTCAGATCATATAAATCTTTCGCCTTTTTCATGCTGATATAGTTTGCAGTAAGTTCCTTGAAGTTGCCCTGTAATTTTCGGTAATCACTTTGAGCTCTCTGAGCTCACTGAGCTTCCTTAGAACTGTTGTTTTGAATTCAATATCTGATAGTTCCCTTGCCTCTATTTCATTTAGTTCTCTTTCTGGAGATTCCTCCTTTCCCTTTGATTGGGGGTTGTTTCTTTGACATCCCATTATTTGTGAGACTCTTCATTTTTGTTTCTGCTTCTTAAATTGATCTGTCTTGATTGCCTGACTTGGTGGTGTGTACTTCTATGGTAGGAAACTGCTGTTTTTTTCTATCTGGATCTGCTTCTAATGATGTTAGCTGTTCACCCTGTCTGACCTAGGCAGTCTTTTCAAGACTTTCAGAAATCTACTGCCTGTGGCTGTCCCCTTCAGTTGTTAATCTAGTCACTCTGCACTCAGCATTCAGGCTTAGGCACCACCGGGGCAGGCCTGAGTCCCTCCTGTGGGTGGGTTATTGGGTGGTCTCACGCTTCTGAAACTCAGAGGAGTGGTCTTCCGGAGCCCGGTGGCTGCTGCCATATAGAGAACGATTCAGCACCCGGATCCCACAGGCCACTCTCTCAGTCTGTCCCCAAAGCCTCCTTCCCCGGTCTCTTCTCTGACGTCTCCAGCCCACTCTGCCCCCACTCTTGCCAGAGCCCATAGGAACTGGCTGCAAATTAAAATGTGTGTGTTGGCCCTTTAAATGGCTTTTTGTGTCTCCAGGTGATCGTCTCTGGCGGAGAGCTACCCTGCCAATTATCGCAGCTGGCTGTTATCTGTGTACTTTTTCGGCTCTGGTGCTGTAGTCTGGGGTCCCAGCTGACGGTTTTGGCCCCAGTCTTCTCAGGGGGATTCAACTGGCTGTTACAATATCCTTCTGGTGCTGCCGCCTGTGGGCCTCTAGCCCTCCTTCTCGATTCTCTACGGTACTCCTTACCAGTTAGGTAGTGCTAAAGCCGATTCTTCTGTCTGAGGTTATAAGGCTCCTCTCTTGCAAAGCCTCCTCTCTTGATATTGTTCACTTGTTTGTTCCAGGTGATTTCTCCACAATTAGTTGTAATTCCAGATTGGTCCTGGGAGGAGGTCAGTGTGACTTCCATTCTTCCTCCGCCTCCGTGAAGCCTCAGGTACCATAATTTTAAATATGTATATCCTTAATAAGAAAACATAAACATACTGAGGCAGAAACAAACAAAACTAAACAAAAACAAAAACAAAACAGAATCTAGAGTTAATGCACTAGCAGAGGCCTTTTTCTCGGTTTTCTGGACACCAGAATCTTCAAACTGGACTGTTTTTCAGGAAGCAATGGCTGCAAGTTGGGAGAAGAACAGCTATGTTGGAATTGGGGCAACGCGGCCATGGGTTTCATTCCTCAGTGTGTGCAGAACATACATCATGCCCTGAACTGGAAGCACGGGGCTCAGTCTGGGCAGGTGGCCCTTGAGGCCATGCCATCTGCCTGACGTCCTTCTTGTAGCCAAGCCTGAGGAAGCCCGGAAACCACTGCCAGGGGAGGACAAGGAATGGGAGGGACGACACAGCTTCTCCTGTGGTCTCCTGGCCCAGACCATTGGTTCCTGAAAGCACCGCGGTTGCTTCGTATTTTCTTGACACGTGAAGCAACAAGCACTGAATGTGGCCTTCCATAAACGTGTCTGTTGATTATGAAGACTGACACTTGTTTAGATTTGAGGAATTCACAGTTGGTCGATTTGTAGCAGGAGAGCTCAAGTGGAAAACTAAAACCACGTTATTTTATAAACTAGTTGAATCTGCACTGAGAAAAAGGATCAAGATTGTTTTTTTTTTTTTTTTTTTTTTTTGTTCATCTATTTTTTTGCTACGGTAATCCCCAAGCCTAACCCTATTCTGGAAGCTGAAGGGTAAGAAAAGAGGAGATCAATAAAAAAATATAATACTTGCTCGGAATTATAAATGTAAAGGGCTCTCCTTGTGGACAGAGGGTAGTTCCACACATGTCATGGTCCTTAGGAAACTGTCCCTTGTCATTCCATCAGTGTGGCCTATCAAAATGGTAGGCTTGGATACAAGCCTATCTCATGAAAAGGCTCAGCCCTCACTTCAACTTTAATGTGCATGTAAATTACCTGGAGACTTTGCTAAAGTGAAGACTTTAATACAGGAGTTCTCGGGGTTGCCTGAAAGCCTGCATTTAAAACAAGCCCTGCGCAGGACACTCTCAACCGCGAGCAAACTAGGAAGAGTCCTGGGAGATCAGTCTCCAACATGAAACACGGGCAAATCTCCCCAATTCCAGTTCCCTCCGCAATCTGACGGAGCCCGCACCTCAGCTATCCTCTGATTCACAGAACAGTTTCTAAGGCCCTGTCACAGTTCCTGTGTGCTCAGGGTGAAAAGTCATCACAAGATTCTGATTTAAATCATCTTGGTTTACAGATGGAGACACTAAGCTCCTAAGGGGAGGAATCATTCGTTTATTTCCCTGTAACTATTTAAGTGCATGGTCAGGATTCCAGCAGGGGATTTCTAGCTAGGGCTCTTCTCCTGATTCCTACGAGACAGGAAATCAGCCTGCAACAAAGCTATGGGGACAGGACACAATGTGACCTGTGGAGGTATCAGAAACGTTGGGAGGGAAAGAATTTCAAAACCAATGCAGGTCCAACGACTAAATCTCTAAAAGATCAGATACAACAAAGAATAGTGTAGAGACAATCGTTTTATTATTGATACAACAGCATTTGCGGAAACAACGCATCAAGGAGGGTCACTTCCACTGGGACAGGGTATGTGGGCAGAGGTCAGCTGCTTCCTTTCCCCTGGCGTGAGTGACCCAGGCTGCAGGGCTCAGGCGAAGCTGCCGTTGAGCCTGCGGTCTCGTTCAGCGACTGGGTCAGAGCCTGCCTGGGGGCCTCATGGGTCCGCGCCAGGGCGCCAAGCGGTCATCGCCCCCTACGCAGATGCAACCTGCACGGGACGAAACACCTGTCTCCCACAGGTGCGACTCCACCCTCAGGCAGTGAGGGCGGGCGCCAGGAAAGGCTGGTAGGGCCCAGCACAGTCATCCGGAAGGCGGCCAATGGCGCCCACTCTCACAGCGGACCCTTGGGGCTCTCTCAGTCTCCCCAAGGGCAGGAATCCCAGTGTTGTCTCCCCGCCTCCCTCCAGCTCTTCATCCTGCCTAAGAAGCGAAACCTGTATCGCTCACCAGTCCGGTCGCCTAAGGACATGAAATCAAAAGTGCACACACAGGAATGAAGCGGACAATTCTCCAGGTCAGGCATTTCCTAGTAGCAGTGCTGCGACCTTTAGTCTGGAGTCCCTGTCACCTGTTTTCCATCTGTCACTCTGAGGGCACGTGCTGGGCAAAGGAGAATCACATCCGTACAGAACCTGGGACACACAGGCAAGGAGGGCTGGGCACCCTTTACTTTAATGGCAAGAAACAGACACATGCGCAGGAAAAAGGGGAAAGGCCAGGACAGCAGCATAAAAGGGGCCCTTGAGCTTCCGGACAGCGAGCTCAGGGGGCAAAGACAGCCGGGTCCACGGACGATTTCAGAAGAGCAATGGCGGCTTCAACAAGCACCTGCACGGCGGAGCCTATGACGGAGAGAAAACAAAAATGCGGGTTCCGGACCAACGACGAGAGCACGCGTGCCTCTCCCAGGCTCCCCTGCGCCTCCCAGCATCGCCCCGGAGTCCTGCCCTGAGCTCTCGGCCGGCCGCGGGCTTCAGGCCGCCCAGATTCCCTTCACTCGCCTCCGGCCCCGAGTCAGCGGGCAGCGGCGAGACACTCACCCCTCAGGGGGACAGGCTCACACTCAGGACAGCGCTGGCCCGGTGAGCCAACGCCACTGCACGTCCTTTGCGCAGCGCACACTCCGCGTCCAGGGCCCTCTGCCGCGTCATGTCCCGCCCCCCCGGCCCAGCGTCGCACCGCACCCTCAGCCACCCCGGAGCGAGCGAGCGGGGCGACCGGGACAGGCCAGGCCCAGGATGGCCCGGGAGGGGACGGAGGCGCCGCTCTCCTGGCCGCCCTCTCGCAGGCCCGGACGTGGCCTGTCTGCGGAGGCGCCCAGTGGCCTTGGTGGGAAGGAGGCGGGGTCTGAGGGTTGAGCTCCTACCTGCATGGGTGTGAATCCAGGCCACAGCTTTCCTCTCCAGAAGTTCCCACTCACATCTCAGGTCCTTGTGGTTGTCATGCAGCCAGAGCACGGCCAGGACTGTGGCCCAGGCTGAGGGATCCGCACCCTGCAACGGGCAGAGGCTCCCCTGAAGCCTCCACTCCTCCTCACTTCCCCCGCCCCCCGCCATGCGGCTCAGTGACATTGCCTGTCCTCCCTATGTCTCACCATGAGTCGCAAGGCAGTTCCGCCCGGAAGCCGAGGGGAGGACCCACTGCCTCCGAGGGTGCAAAGGCCTTAAATTTGAAAGCCAGTGTCACCCCCTGGACAGCGCTTGAAAGTCCCCAACACCCCAAACAGGAATTAGCCCTCTGTGATGAAAGAAACGCATGCGGCCCTGGCTGGGTGGCTCGGTTGGCTGGAGCATCATCCCGTACACCACAAGGCTGCAGGTTCCATCCCCAGACAGGGTGCGTACGGGAGGCAGCTGATGGACGTGTCTCTCCTCCCTCCTCTCTAAAATCAATGACTATGTCTTAGGTGAGCAGTAAAATTTAACAAACTACAGAAAGAAACTCAGGAGTATGAAGGGGCCAGGCTTTAACACTAGGTCAAGCCTGGGCCGAAACAAGAAACTAGAGCAGACAGTGCCCCAAGATGAAGGGAAGAATTAGAGCCCCCCTTGGTAGCAGGATAGGACAGCGGCTGAGCCTTGACTCAGATAAACAGCCGGTAGGGGCAGGGTCAGAGCTGAGGATAAGGGAGAAACTGGTACCAAGGAAAACATATCAGGGTGCAGCCCCCATGCAGCTGGGCCAGAGTCGACAAGAATGAGGAGGAGGCATGGGGCGACGGTTGAGCCTTGCCTCGGGTAAACATCCTGACCAGAGAAAGAGTGGGGGGCCCAGTAACAGCCTTGAACCTAATTAGCAAAGGGAGAAAGAAAGAAGCTGCCTATCGCTAACTGCCACTTCTCGCCCTTGTATCTTGCTTGCTTGCTCTGCTTATAAAAACCCGTGTACCCTTACAGCGGCGCCTTTTTCCTTTCGAGGGAAAGGTGGCCCCTGCGCAGGTAAAACTTGGCCAAATAATAAAGAGTGTGTGATCAAACTCTAATTTCTGAGCTCATACTTGTGGGGATCGTAACAGAGTACAGTTGCCTTTTATCTTCTAAAGCATCTTGATGGTGTTTTGGTATTTGAACCCTCACAAAAAAAAAAAAAAAAAAAAAAAAAAAAAGAGAGAGAGATCATCAACAGCCACATTTTTAGGAGAGAAAACATGTTTACAAAAGGAAAACGATTTGCCCAAGTCAGTCTTTTAGCACGTGAACGACATGGGGTCGGACAGCAAATATTCAGGTTTAAGTCATCGTGCTCATGTAGCTCAACAGAAAGCCTCATGCATAAAAACAGAAAACAGGCTCCTTTGAGTTTTCAGCCATGACCCGCAATTCCAGTGTTTAGAGACAACAGGTCCCCTTTTATCGTGACCTTTACAATTTGGAAGCAGCTTTCCTGTCCTCTGAGTAGCCTTGTTCCACATCCAGATCCTCAGTCCCTTTCCTTCTCCCTGTGAGGATCTGTATCAAAGCAGTAGGAGTCCCCATGCTGGCTCTCCTGGTCTGGAAACAAGCACAGCGGTGTCTAAAATCTACCTCTTTCAAGGGTGCATCAGGAGGGACATGCACTTGTAACTTTCTGTGGCCCCAGCCCCACACTCTGTAACACGCAGACCTTTTCTGACATCCTTTGCCCTCAACAACCATGTTCGTGGTCATGAAAAACGTCTAGTTTCGCGTGCAACGGCTCCTAAGTCACTTGGTAGCTATTCTCTACCTGTAGGATTGAGAATGTAGAATGAAAACCAGTATGTTGGTTCCTGCTCATTTCCTTTTCATTCAAGCCATGGTTCGCGTCTCTTGGGACCCTGACTTTCCTGTCTAACACTCTATCTCCCCGTTTTGTCACACACAAATAGGAAAGCATTGTCGGACATCTGCACCGACATGTCCATCGAATATCTGCACCTCCAGGGAATTCAGAGCCCGGTGGCTCTAAACATCGGTTTCAAGTTAAACAAATTCATTATTCAGTACGATGGCTGTTGAACTAGTTTGTAATCAGTCCATATACTCATCGTTAAGGACTTCCTACCCTTTGCGACAGTATGGATTATGCCAAGCGAAATAAGCCTGTCGGGGAAAGACAAATAACATACGATCTCCGTGATATGAGGATTCTAATGAACAAAATAAACTAATGACCAAAAGAGAACCAGAGACATGGAAACATGGAACAGACTGACAGCTGCCAGAGGAAAGGGGGGAGGGAGGAGTCAAAGAACAGGTAGGAATGACCCAGGGACATGGGCGACAGTGAGGGGATTGGCTGTGGGGGGCGGGCGCGGGGCGGGGCGGGGCCCTACGGGGGGAACAACTGGGACAACTGTCAGAATAAACAAGAAATAAAATATAATATAAAAAAAGAAAGGTAATTTGCAGAAAGAAGGGTACCAATTCATGAAGATACGCATATTATCTTTTAATAATAACATAGTAAATAAATGTAAGAAAGTAAAAAATAATAAAAGATAAATATAATCAGTTAAAATTTTTCTAAAAAAGAAAAATTCACATTCCTTACTGAAATTCAGATACACCAGGGCTCTTTTAGGGTTTTAAAGATTTTCCTTATTTATTTTTAGAGATGGGGGAAGGGAGGGAGAAAGAAGAGCAAGAGAAACACTGATGTGAGAGAGAAACATCCTTTGGTTGCCTCTCAAATGCACCCCGACTGGAGATCAAAGCCCCAACACAGGCATGTGCCCTCCCAGGGAATCGAACCTGCAACCTTCCACTATGTGGGACGATGCCCAAAACAGAGTGCCACCGGTCGGGGCCAGGGCTCCCGATTCCTCTGATTTCTTGGCCGAGTCGCCGGCCCAAAGGAAACGTTAGTCTACCATGTTTTGTTCTCAGTGAAACCAAGTTAGAACTTCATGATGCTCAATATCTTCAATTAACGTTTTATACATTAATCTTATTAACCAATGTATAATGGTTTAAAATGACTCTTTTTAATTATCTCTTTTAGAAGAGTATTTTTAATAGAAATAGAGTGCTAGATGCACATATAATTTGAAGTATGCTGGTAGCCATATGTAAAAGTATAAAGGAAGGCACAATTCCTTTTTTAATATTATTTGAGTTAACAATATACTTAAAATATTTGGATTGATTGAATTTTTTTTCCAGAGAGGAGAGGGAGGGAAAGAGGGAGACATCAACCTGCTGTTTCCGTTATTCGTGCATTTTTGTTTCATTATTGTATGTGCCCTGACCAGGAATCAGACCTGCTCCCGCGGCGTACAGGGACGGCGCTCTACCCAACTGAGCTACCCAGACAGGGCTTACAATATCATTTTAACATATAATAAATATAAAAATAATTGTGAAATATCTTACATTCTTTCTCACGTTAAGTCTCTAAAATGATCATGTATTTCACAATTATACCACATCTCAATCCAATTATACCACATCTCAATCCAATTAAAAATTCCTCATTTGCATGTGCCATATTCTAACAACTTAATAGCCACATCTGACCAGTAGATGCTGCATTGGTGTTGTAGTATTGGATATCTGAAGTTTTCTAATCGCCTTCCACATTTTGTAAATTCAAAATGACATTTCTCCTTTTCAGGATTTTGGCATTTGTCTTATATTTAACAATGTCTCAGTTAGAACATTTAGTAAGTTACCTTGAAATTCTGGAACGTAATTTGTTTTCATCAGCAGACCTGAACACACTTGAAATATTTTGGCCACCCCCCTCTAATACTTCGCCCTCCCAAGCTTCCGTAAAATTTTGCTAATTTCTGGACCACTTCCTTTAGGAAGAAGAGGAGCAATAATGGGGGTTCTGAAGACAGTCCTAGCATTGAATCCAACTCTGCCACTAACTGGTGAGGCAACTCAGACACATTATTATACTCCTCCGGGCTTCAGTGTCTTCATCGACAAACAGCAACATGAACAGGATTTATTTTACTTCATTGTGATGAATAACTAAGATTGGGAATGGTAAGTGCTTAGCGCAGCGCTGGGCACAGAGTGGTCGCTCAGTGAACGGCTGTGATCATAACGAAGATGCTTGGCAGGGGATCAGGTAAAGCAGGAGAGCATCTTTGCTTCCCCTTTGTCATCCATCACTCCCGCGAGCCAGGCAGTAAGTTAGTCCCTTGTACTTTCTGTTCTAACCTACCCGGAAAAAAACCTTCGACCTCTACTCACTGGAAACTTACTTAGTCCATGTCCCCCTACACTCTCCTTCCTCAGGCGACGCACGATTCACCGCACTTCTCCTTATGGACTCCAGCCACGCAAACGCATACACACTCCTCCTCTCTGACTCTCACCTCGCCAGGGAGTGCGGCCGCCGCATCCTCCACACTCATCCCGAGGACCTTGGCCAGACCTTCATTCAGATCCCAGGAACCATCTGCCTTTTGGAGGGAAATCAGCTGCACAAGTTTATTATCTTCAGAGTCTTTGGGGAGAAAGAAAAAAAAGAGGATGAGGAGTTGAGAAGCTTCTGGCCCTCGGCATACTTGAGCGAGAGAGGTCTGAATACAGAGACAGGCTGCAGAAAGGGTGCAGAGCTCAGCAGATCCCACCAAGGTCCCACTCGGTCCATCCCTGGGGGACACGCGTCCTCTCTCTGACAGGGCAGGGTCGCCCCAGGGCTGCGCTGCACTTGGAAACTCAGGAACAAGAGAGAGGTAGCGGGAACCCCAGGACCCACACGGAGGTGCTGCTTAAAGTCTTCTCCAGTCCTGCTAAATGACCCTTTACACATTAGGGATATGAAGAAAAGTCTAAGCAAGTACAGCTTCAAGTTTAATTATCAAAAAAAGCAGATACAAAGGAAGCCGTTAGCAGTTCACCCCTAAGAGCAGTCTAGTGTCTGAGGCTAGTGGTATGGAACTTGCTTAAACATCACAGAATATTCATAGAAAGTATCTCACATCTCGCTGTTTATCACATGGGATGATATACATAGAGCAACTTAAAAGGTAGTCCGCCAGAAAAACAGATCTGCTCCAATGGGAAACAAATCTACGGCTCTGAGTTTCAAAAGTCCGAGTCTGAATCTCAGCTTGGCGAACATGCACAATCTAACAGTCAGTTAATCGGCAGGAGTCTCAGCCTTCTCTCTGCACTGGAGCCAATGAAGCCTGACCCATGAGAAAAAAGGGAAAGTGCCTGGAGGGCCCACACATGGCTCCCTGTCCACAGCAGTTGCCAACTAAGTCACAAAAGCCCAGCTGCTCGGAACACAAGGAAAGGGAAGGACCGGGGAACGTTTTCTGGTGAGAGAAAGGCATCGGGCAGCATCAGAAAGGTCTGTCTTCAAACCCAGCTTCTTAAAGGGTGATGATGCAGCTGGGGCCCAAGGGGGCGCACCTGCAGGCGAGGTGCGAGCTGCGATGGCAGAGGAGGTGAGTCTAAGGCAGGCTCAGCTCGAGGGGCTCCGGGGGGAGGGGTCCGTGACCTTCGTCGCAGACCACTGAAGCTGGGCAGACCCTGGCACACACGGGGACATTTTACCCTCTGCTTGACGTCTTTCAAAGAGTTACCTCCCGGGGACAGGGAGCCACAAGGTAGCAGAGCAACAAAGATGAGTGCTGCAGTCCCCATGGATCAGCAGGGAGACCCGAGGCCCACCTCACCTGTGCAGTGGCTTCCCACGCTGGTGCTCTCGGAGTAAGAATCAGCCCTTGGCGGCTCGGCGTCGGCCGCTATGAGAAGCATGCCTTTCTTCCCTATTGCAGCACCAGGAGATCGACACAGGCCTAGACATATATGTGTGACAGACAAGCACTGGTGAGAAAAGTCCCTAGAAAGATGCGCACCTAGGGGGTCCCGGCTTGTGTTAGTCGTGGGCCTATGGGGGTCGTAACCGTTCTTCCGGTACGAGGCGCTCACGCAGGAAAAAGGGCTCCTGAGGGCGGAGGCGCCGGGGGACAGCGGGAGGTCGGGGCCGTTGTAAGAGCAGAGAAAGTCCAGCACAGACACTGACACCTTCCCCGCCCCTCCCCGTGCTGCCCTCTGGGGGCGAAGGGCCCTGGGAATTGGAGACACGCGCGGGGTGGCCCATCCCTGTCGGCCTCAGTCACCTTCTTCCCTGGGCACTTTTTCCTCTCCCACGAGCCCAGATCCCGCACACACCCGCCCACTCTGACACACCACAGCGGCCTCTTGTGCATCTTTAGTGTCAGTACAGCAGGCTTCCCCCAACGACGTCACTTCAATCTCCGCTCTCCTTCTAACAATCTTCGCTCCCTCTCTGCTCCTCGCATGGCGGCTGCTCCAGGCACCCAGGTTTGCGAGGTGGGGTCGGTGCGGCTGGCGACCTCTTCTGTCCCCACTGCCACACCCACATCGCTCCCCCTTCATCCTCACCGGGCTACCTTCCTCAGGCCCTCACTGCTGTCCACCTCCGCCCTCTCTGTCCCTGTCCACCGTTCACGGAGGTATCTGAAAACCAGATCAAAGACTTTCCCTTCAGGCCAAAGCCTGCCATCGCCCCGAGAGGAGAAGGGACCACAAAGGTGACCCATCTGACGCCCGGATTCAAAGCTGCTTGTCAGGCTCAAGTCCAAGGGCTTCCGCTCCGTTCTACCCCAGCCGCTCCCTCCCCAGCCAGGCTCTGGCTACCACGCAGAATTGCTCCCACTGAAAAAAATTAATTAAAAGAAATCTACTTTTAAAATACAATACCCAATTTTCCCAGCTTTCTAACTCAGATTCTCCTTGTACCTGGACTTCCACTTCATCTGGACCTTTAAGTCTTTGTCTCCTTTGTTTTTTCCTACAGAAAACCTTCCTGGCATCTTTAGTCTCTTTTCCATTCAGCCGAAATCTCAGGTTCAACACTCCACAACTCCCTTACTGCCATCTGCAGTTCCGCGTGCCTCGCTTCCTTTTCACCACCTCTGTTGACAAAACCCAACCTCAGAATTAAGCCAACGCTCTCCTCTCTTCGATCTTTCTTAGACCGAAGCTGTTCCGCACTGCTGAACTCAGGTACATGAACCGATTCCCTTTCGTAGTTTGTGCCGCTACGAAAACATATCGAAATGAAACATTTCAAAGTCAACATATCACAATGAAACTGGACCGTCCACATTCCTTGACCAATGCTCCATGTCTCCCTGAGCAGTGCGCTCTGCACATGGCCGCAGGGCCTTTTCCAACCCTCAGCTCAAACGCTTGCTCTGCACCTCTGCTCTCACGCCCATTCGCGAATCTTGCTGTCTCTCACTAAAACAACAGAAAATGATCAGACAGAAAGTCCAAAGCTTGCCTCACCGCCTCTGAACTGAAGTCTACTTCCACCCCTTTCCTTCCACACGCTGGCAGTAAGGGAAGAATGTCCCAGCGCCTGTCCTGTCCTGTGAAAGGCTAAGCCTCCTCCGCTGTCCGGGGTCGCATCCTGCCCCGCTTCCTCGCTCGCGCCCCTCCCCGGCTGCCCTGCCCACGCTGACCCTCTGCAGGGGCACTGCCCCGTCAGCAGCACCCCGCCCTCAGGTCCCTCTGTCCTGCAATCACACAGAGACTCACACACACACCACAGCACAGCAGCCCTGACGGTTCTCTCAGAGATACCGCTCTCTGCGCCTTCCCCTTTGCAACAATTATAAAAAGCTCAGGCACAGGCCGCGTCTCATTTCCCACCTCTCATTTGCTCTTTAACATTGGAATGTAGATGCTTTCTTCCTCTATGCCCACGGAACTGTCCTTGGTTTGAGTTGCAAGCATTCCTTTCATATTAACACAATATGCCCTTTTTTTTTAAATTTTATTTCCCCATTACCATGTATGTCTCCTATGACCTCTGCCACCTCCGCCCACCCCACCCCCCGCGACAATCCCCACACTGTTGTCTGTGTCTGTGAGTTCTTCCTCCCTCTTTTGTGTCTCGATCCCTCCTCCCCAGCCTTTTCAGTTTTACTTTCACTCCTCTGCACCCACTTCTTTTCTTGCTACTTTATTCCTTTCTCCCGTGGTCGGCGCGTCCATCCCTAGATACCCTTCCATGTTCCACTCCCGTCCGCTCTCACCTCGCCCTGTGCCTGCCCTCTGAACAGCCGCGCCAGCCTTTGTCGGGAGCTCTCACCGAGACGGCGGGCGGCGGAGGCAGGCCCATGTCACCGGCCTGTCCCGACGTGGCCAGGCTGCCCCTCGGCTGTCTGTGTGGTCCTGAGTCATCTATCGGCACAACTGACCACTTAGACAGGGTAAATACTCAGTGTTTATGTATGCTTTTGTTTACTTTTCCTCATGTTTATCCCCTTGGATTGCTCTAAATTTTCTTGCTAAAGGAATATTTTCTAGGTTTCTAGGACAGAAAAGTTTGATACCAGTCCGAAATCCTAGATGTGCAGAGACAAGGGGGACAAGAGGACCAGTCACAGGCATTTACTTTAATTCCTGTATCCAGACATCCAGGGCCCCTTGTTTTATGTGAGTTGAAATAGAAAAAAACTCACGAGCTCCAGAGAAGGGCACCATTGCAGGAGAGCAACACATCGCAGGAGAACCAAACAGCATTGGCCTTGGAACGTCACGCTGGACCACGGGTCCCTGAACTGGCTTGTTGAGATCCTTGTTGATGGCAATGAAAGCTGTCTGGGAGCTGATCACTCCGCACTCGAGGCTCACTGCCAGCACGTCTTTCTTATCATTTGCTGGAGTCTCCCCGTAGCCCATGTCCTTGGTCTGGAGGAAGGACTTGGCGGCCAGGCGGTGGACGGTGAGGCTGAAAGAGAACCACCCCTGTGACGCAGGGGAAAGCCCGCGCGCCGGCTCCCGGAGCCTCGCTGGGCAGGGAGGGCCAGAGGAAACCACGTGGGGAGAGAGGAAACCGAGGGGCTTAAAAAGGAAACGTTACTTTAGGGAAATAATCGAGACCAAAATAGGAAAGACAAGAGGGAAGGGGAGGGGAGGAGAGAGGAGAGGGAGGGGCAGGAAGGAGGGAAAAAAGGAAGGGAGGGAGCAATGGAGGTAAGAAGTGGAAAAAGAAAATGCAGAAGGAAAACTGAATTCTCACTTGGCATCAGACTTGGGTTGTAGGGAGAATGTCACTTTATTCTCAAAGCTCTTGCCCTGGAGGGTGTACTTGAGGCAAACTTCTCCTGTTGCCTCTGCTGCCTAGAAATTACAGAAGAGTAGAAATGACGGAAGGGAGATGCACCTCGGGAAACGTCAGAGCTGGGGCAGCTCCCCAACCCCACACGCTGACACTTCTGACCGGAGACCAGGCCGCGCAGGAAACCGGAGGCTCGACCTGCCGGAGGAGGGGGCAGCCCAAGTCTGTCCTGCAAGTGCCCAGAGCAGAGCGCAGGGCAGCAGCTACTCTCAATGGAGAAACAAACAAGAATGGACTCTCACCGGCATCCTCCCAGTCAACTGGGCGTAGGCGATCGACCTCTGACCCCTGAAGATGACAGTCTGTTCTGAGGAAAGCATTTTAGCAGACAGACCAGGCGGCAACTCCCAGCTCAGAGAAACGTCCTCTGCTACAGGCTGTAGACAACGTTTCAGGGCCCTAAGAACCTGGGGGAGAAAGAGAACAGAATAATAACCAATACTAATAATGGCAACAAATACTCCAACTGACGGAATGTTCATTACGCACAGGTGCTATGCAGCATGATATATGTTATACCTATTCCTTAAACTGCATCAGGAGATGGGCGTTATTACTTTTGCTTTACACATGAGGAAGGTAAAGCAGAGGAATTGAATAAATGTGAAGGAAGGCAATGTCTGGGGAAAGAGACCCTAGAGAACTAGGCATTAGATAAGAAACAGCACCAGCTGGGAAAGCAGAACTTAGAAGTACCACCAGCGGGGGAAGGTGCCCTCCCCTGTGCATAGGAATCAAACAGACTATCGATTACCCACCTCTTCCCCCTGCCAGGCATACTACAATTGCCCTTATTTTCCGCACATCATTTGCATGGAGGATAGAGCACAGGACCCACCCAGATCCTACGGTGCACACCTGGAACGCCAGTCGTGACAGTCACATTCTTAGTTTCTGTTTCTTGTCTTAAACACACAGCCCTGACCTCGTCAACCATTTTGTTTCGGGGCTGCCAAGGCCCGGGACTAAATGCCATTCCCCCAGAAACTACAGTGGGCCCTTCAACACGAAGCCAAAAGGAGCCCAGCAGGCACACAGCCCAAGGCTTGGGGACAGAGGCCATGCACCCCAGAGGCGCTGCGCTGCCTCCGCTCTCCCGGCGGGTGGCCCTGCCGCGCCCGCTGTGGGGCGCCGCTCTGGGGCCTCGCCCACGGCCGCACCTTCGGCTGCATCCGCTCCTTGCCCGTGATGAATTCCGCCGTGCCCGCCGCTGCCCGGGCGATGCCTTTTATTAGGCTGGTCGAGGCTCCTTCTCCAATACCAAAGGAGAAACACCTGCACGTGTAAAACAGGTGGATGTCACAGACGGACACTCAAGGGCAAAATCATGAAATCATACATAGCGGTCAAAAATACAGGGAGGAATAGTCTACGTCCTTGACCAAAAGCGTAAGAGCTACCGCTCATTGAGCATACTCTACCTTGCAGAAGGCCACATGCCTTAAATTAATGATGCAATTTCATCACCCCGGGACTCCGAAGAGGCAGGCTACTGTTTCATTTTGCAGCTCACCTGAGGCCCAAAGGATTTTAGAACTCTGTCCGAGACCACAGACCCGCTGGCACAGAAGGCATTGGAGTGCTGATCTGCTTGACTCCTTGGCCCTCTGCAAACCCTTACCTATTATACCGATTCTAGCAGCACAGAAAACCATGCGATAGGATTATATCCTCATCAATTCTTTTAATAACCAGTCCCAAGAAAGCGGGAGAGTTAGGAAGTCAGAGATGCTCCCCTCAGCGCAGGACTGACACTGATCTGGGACCACATCCGCCCGGGGCGGCGGGAGGCTCCTCGCAGGACGGGAACAGCGCCTGCCGCTCCTCTCACTGGACAGCCCCTCCCTGCCCTCGCCACGGGCACCAAGTAGCTCGTTAATCTCAGTGTGGCGCCCCAAATACACCTGTCTGTACACAGAGAAGGTGCGGGCAGTACCAGTAATCCCAGCAATTCTAGACGGCAGGACGAGGGTAGTTCTCCTGCAAACAAATACCGCGCTCTTCTGGCACATGTATCGGCCCCTTTTGAACCAGGGTCGTGCGAATCGTCACCCCCGTGTCTAGGGACACCGGCACCAGGACTAATGCTCTGAACCTGGAAGGCCAAGCCAGACCGCTAATTACTGACACTTAACTGCGACAATTTTCCCTACAGATCACAGCCCGCCAGCGTCTTGATCTCATTATCTTTAAATTTCCAACAAGCTTTTGACCTGAAGGCTGGGTTCTTTATGGCTTATAAAGTGGATGTTTAAGTGTTGTTATGTATAAAATGAAAACTGGCTTTAGTTTTATCAACAATAACAATATTTCTTGATGGCTCACGAGATGCCTACAGCCTAACTGCTCCATGAGACGATGCTAAGAGCAGTAACTGCATTAACGGCACAGCTCTGCGGAGCGCGCCCTTTGGGTCAAGCCCGGCTCCTGACGCTCTCCCTGGGCGCGCTCCTTTCTAACCCTCACGGTCAACCGATGAGTACAGTTTTACCTCCATTCTCAAGGGAGGCACCTGAGGCTTACAGAGCTCAACTGATCTGTCCAAACAGCTGACAAGCAGGAGACCTGGAACCTAAATATATGGCTTCCGACTAAAAGTAGAACAGCCCGGGAGAGTTCTGCTCACAGCCATGCCACACCAAGTTGTTCCAAGACAGTGGAAAACCAGGAAGCTAAACAATACTTTTAATCATCTCCTTGAAAACCTCAGACGGCTGCCAAGACTGTGGGCTGAGAAGAGGGAGAGGCGGGAAGCGAAGAGCGATGAGCCTGGTATCTGCTATCCCTTTACACCTCGAAGCAGGTGTCCAGTCCACACTGATAACGAAGGGGTTAGAAAGCGAAGCAGCTTCAGTTTGAGGCTTCCCAAAGAGAGAGTGCCCTGGGAGACACTCAGGTGTTTTAACAGAAGCCCGGAGAACTATACTCTAGAGAGGTGACTCTAAAAGAAACCAGCCATTGAATGACTGATATTCCTTAGACTCTAACTGGACTAAGAAGCAGGATTACCTGCTTCTTGTCTAGCAACCTGCCAGAAGCAAAGAGCGAATCTTCCTAGTGGACAGACAGCAGCATCTGGAGGCCCATAATATTTCCAGAATTTTATATATACCATATCTGACTGCTAACAATAAAATTTAAAAAAACAAATGATTAGGAAATTATATACTATACTTCTAAATAACATAGGTTTTAAAAGAAATCATAATGATAGTTGGAAAATGTTCTCAAGTGACCACAAACAGAAAATGACATATCCAAATTTAGGATTCAGCTACATATATGTTTAAATTTCTCATTCTAAATACATATATTAGAAAAAAAGTTTGAAATTCAACCACCTGAGCATCCATCTCCAGATCTTAGGAAAAGAACACCCAGTATACCCACAAAAGTCAAAGGAAAGAGAATAACAAAGATAGAAGCAAACATTAATACAGAACCAATCATAGAACAGAGGGGATCCATACACTCAAAAACGCTGGTTTTTTAAAAAGATTATTAAAATTGACAAACACGAGGGCAAGAAAAACAAACAGAGAAGACGCACACAACCAACCTGAGAAATGAAAAGGAAATACCACCTCTGTGTCTGCCAATGTTTCCGTCAGTCACAGCGTCTGGCAACATCAGAGGCAATTTCGTGCAAAGAGATTTGAAAATTTACATAAAGTATACCAACACCCATAAGAATCAACAACATTGATAAAAATAAAAATACAGTTTTATTTCAATAAAGAGATTTGAAAAACTTTCCACAGAAAAATTCTCCCGGCAACATCTAGGAAACACGAAAGAAAACCTCTCAGACAATCGAAAAACAGGCGATTATTCTCAGTCCACTGCGGGAAGCCACTGTAACACTGACAGTAAAACACAACAGGAATGACAAAGAAAGTCAGTATTTCTCATGAAAACAGATTTGAAAATCCTGAGTGATTATGAGCCAACTGAGTTAAAATATATGAAAAATGTTAATAGATCACAACTAACTTGGGTTTATTTCAGGAATGCAAGGTTGGTCTAACAGATACCAATAGTCATTGTAATTCACATGCTAAAGAATAAAGGATAAAATCATGCACTCATCTCACCAGATACATAAAACACTTTTGATGTACTTCAGCAACCATTAATTATCGTTTTAAATGTCAGGAAAGAGAAAACGAATTCTCATAACACAAATAGAAGGAAATTTCCTTAACCTGACACAGGACATCTACAGAAGGACCTAGAACAAACACGCACACTATTAAAGCAACGTTAATCATGCTCCTCCTGAAATGCAACATAAGGCAAGGCTGTGAGCTATGACCACTCTTACTCAGGTTGCTATTAGAGCTTCTTTCCAGGGCAATACAGGAGGGAAGAAAATTTAAAATACAAGGATTAGGAAGGAAAAACTGACATCATTTGCAAACATAATTATCCACAGAAAATCTAAAAGAATCTACAAATATACTATTAGAATTAATACCTCCCTTAGGCAAGGTCAACATAAATTTAAAAAACCATCGTAAACAATTTCTATGTAGAAATAATCATCCAGTATATAAAATGCTTTTAAAAATACGATTTAGCCCTGGCCAGTGTGGCTCAGTTGGTTGCAGCGTCATCCTGTAAACCAAAGGTTGCGGGTTCAATTTTTGGTGAGGATCCCTGCCTACGTGGTGGGTTCCATCCCGGTTGGGGTGCATGCGAGAGGCAACTGATCGATGTTTCTCTTTTACGTCAATGCTTCTCTCCCTCTCTCTCTCCCTCCCTTCCTCACTCTAAAATCAGTAAGCATGTCCTCAGGTAAGGATAATATACACACATATATATTTAAATTTTTTAAATTAGCATCAAACACCTAGGAAAAAAATCTAAGGAAAAGTTCATGAAGACCTCTATACAGAGAATTATAAAATATTACGGAGACATTTTGTGTATTGTTAGATCAAGGAAATAAGTATATTTTGTGGGGAATCAAGTTTCTCATCATGGAGAAAAGAAGACACAAATATAAAATAGGAGAAAAAAAGAATGTTATGCTGTTACCCTGGATAGGAGTATCAGTAAAACACATGTTTTTCTTAACCATTTGCTAGTTCTGTCTGCTGAAAATGCCTACATTAAATTACAGACTAGTGGCAAAGAGTGACACCTAACATTCCCACACTGACTTCTATTTATTGTTTGCACTAAAAGGAACAGGGGTCATTCTAGAAATGACTGCCTACGGGAATGGGAATGTACAGGTGAGCCTGAATCATTCTTTTAAGAAAAAAAGGAAATATTCATAAACCAAAGAGACATGTGAAACCACATAGGAGCAAGTTAAAAGGAGCTCCCACTGGCCAAATCTGGAAATTTTGAGGATCTAAATGCATAATGAGACTAATGAATCTGAAAACACTGAAAACTGGTGAAAACTCAAAGTGTATGTTGATACAAGTAAAGGGAGAGGAGGAGGAGGACAAAGTCCTTCTTTATAGTCCGATGACAATAAATATGGAAAAGTTGACAGATTAAACGTCACCATTCCATATCCACTGACAGGAATAACACTTGGGCAATAATCATCAGTGAACGCAAAAACTGCTGAGAGCAGGATGTTTGCAAAATGGCAGAGTGACCTGTCAGATACCGTCTTCAACTGAGTGGTCAAACTGGTCACCAGACCCAGTTACGTTTGGAATATTTCTCCCAAAATATTTCATATTAGTTTAAACATGATTTTAAGCAGCTGAACATGAATTCAAATTCTACAACAAACAGTAGCTAGAATCTTCAAAATGTCAATGTCATGAAAGATAATGAAAAGCTGAGACATTATCCCAGAGAAGACTAAGGAGTCCTAACAATAAAATAAAACACGTGCCGAGATTTGCTCCTGGAACAAAATGTATACAAACAGAAATCTATAAAGGGCATTACTAGATAAATGGGCCCATATGGCCTGTATTAATAAAATGGTGTTATCTCAACATTAAATATCATGAATTGAGTAGTTTTACTCTGGTTATTTATTGAAATGTTCTCAATCAGTGCATAATTATTTGCATGTGAAGGATTATGATACCTGTGGCAAAAAAAGAAAAAACAGAACAAAACAATAACAGGTGAAGAAAATGTGCTAATGTTGCTAACTGCAGACTTGAGTGAAAGGTATGAGTGTCTATTGTTCTATTTTTACAATTTCTGTGTAAGTTTAGTTTTTGAAAGAAAATATTGGAAACACACATTTAGAAGAGCCAAGAAGACCTAAATAAATGGAAAGATAGACCATTTAAATAAATTGGAACACTCAATAGAATTAATACTAAGTTCTCCCAAAACTGATACAAAAAGGCAATGCAATTCTAATCAATATCCCAAGACTTTCTTTTGTGGTAAAAATTGACCAGCTAATTCTAAAATACGTACACAAAATGTCAAGAGTAGCTAAGACAATCTTGAAAAAGACCGAGGTTGAGGACTTTAATGGAAATTACTTATTTTTCAGAACGTGACATTAATTTACGAGGTGTGGCTCTAGCACACGTCTAACACATAAATCACGGAAATGGAACAGGGGCTCCAGAAACAACCCACAGGCTTACGTGCTGGTCTGTGACAACAGCAGCATTGCCTATCAGTAAGGAAGGGAACGCTTTCCAATAAACGGCACAGTATCAATTTCATGTGCACGTGGAAAAAAGGAAAGACAGCCTGACCCCACTCCACACACGGCACAAACATAAATCTCGGCTGAACTGTAGCCCTAACTGTAAAGCAAAAAATAACAAAACTTCTAGAAAATAACAAAGGAAAATAGCTTCTTGATCTTCGGTACATAAAGACTTTTTAACAGGGCACACAAAAAACATAAAGTGCAAAGAAAAAGACGAAAAAATTAAACTATATTAAATCCAAGAAAAACTATTAATCAAAAGATAATACTTTGACAGGGAAAAGGAAAGCTATAGAATAGAAAAACTCATGTCAAGTGACATGAACAAAGTGCTTATATTTAGAGCACAGAAAGAACTAAAAGCAAAGAGGAAAATATAAAAAAAACTTTAATGGACATCACAAAAGAGGACATCCAAGTGGTCAAAAAAAAAATAAAAGGGTGCTCAACTTCATTAGTCATCAGAAAAATCCAAATTACAGTCATACGGAGATTCTACTACAAACCCACAAAATTCGCTAAAATCTAAAGAAACAAACTATGCCAAATTTTATGTAGAAAATGGGGTGATTGTAACCCTCATACAATGCTGGCATGAATGAAATTAACATAACTTGGAAAACTGGCATTCACAATAAATTCCACAACTATGCCAACTCAAAAAAATGTGTGAACATATGTGAAAATAAATGTATACATGCTTATATATGTGCATACACGTGTGTGCGCAAAAACTATATGTACAAGAATACAAAGTTATTTACAAAAGCATTATTTTTAACAGTGAAACTGATGTCCATCAGCCATAGAATCGATAAATATATTATGGTATAACCATCCTGTGGAATACTACAAAACGACAAAAATTAACTGTATTTTCATGCAAAATATACGGGAACCTCAACACACTGCTGAGGGAAAGAACCTAAATACACAGAATAAAAACATAGTGTATAATATTTATTCTTATTCAAAAACAAGCAAAAATAACCCCTGATGTCATCACTCAGGAAAGCTATTTCTCTGGAGAGGTAAAAAAGGCAGTAAACTGGGGACACGACCGAAAAGAACAGAGAAGGAGAGGCACCAGTGGCAGGCCGGCTCCTGACCTGCGTGATGACGACACGCGTGGTCACGCTGGTAGTTCACTCAGCTGCACACTTCCCATTGGTGAGGCCTTCTGTCTACTTTGATAAAAATGTTTCTATTCTTAAGAGTCTTACTATTCAATGCTTTTTACACTGCAGTTTAGATAGAATATGGGACAAAGACAGCACTGTGTTATTGATGTTATTTAGAAAACTGTTTTTCTTATTTAGCAGAGAGGAAACGGTGATGTAGAAAACATTCTGTCAGCTGGCTACACTAAAATTCTTGAAGCATTCCGTCCTCTAAAAGGAATGGGAACGCTGCTCTCATGAGGCCCTAGATTACATGTGGCACGACTTGGGTCAGTCAGAAATCACATTATCTACATACCTGTGCTTCAGACGATTGCTTTTAACCTCTTTAATGACACTAAATGTGTCGTTAACCTCTCCATCTGTGAAAACAAAAAGCTGAACACAAGAGCCATTCATCAATCTCTGTGGACTTTGTTTTTAAAATACCAAAATTTGCCCCTCAAAAACCCAACTATTCCACGCCACAGACACTGATGCCTCTTCAGACAGGTGTGAAATCTCTAATGGGACACTGTCACTTGCACTGTGTCATGTGGTTTGTACTGAGCCCCTGGGCATTTCGATCACCCCCGCCCCCTCCACTGCTAGGTTCACCTACAGCTGCTCTGGCAGCCACCGAGGAATGTCCATCGCCCACACGTCGCAGCACGCTGCTGAGGAAGAGGAATCCCACTAAATGCCCCTCGTCTTCCCCTCCTTACTACACAGCAGACAACTCTGAACGGCATGCCACAGTTAGACAACCCTACAGAGAATCTCGGGGCTAAGCGTCCTTGAACAGAAATGCACTCTCTCTGGCGCCCTCTGTCGGCTCCGCTCCGACTCGTACCTGCAGAGGATGGCCCGGGATGGAAGGGCCGCTGTAAATGCTCTTGAGGGGCGCCAAGATTTCCGTGCCGCCTAGGTCAGCCTTCAGGAGCATGACTCTCTCCAGCGCCTCCGCCATGGTCTGCTGCGTGTACTGCACACTATTCCTGAAAAGAGCGCGCGCTCAGGGACGAAGCTACTCCACACTGTCCAGCACTCAGTCCCTGCGTCCTGTTGAGCCCCACGGTAAACAACCTCACCTGAAAACCCCAGTGCCAAAGTCCACTCTGCTGTAACCACTTTAACAATCTAGTCCTTTCTTTAGAGTACCTTTTTGAACTCTATGAGTTTCCTAGAAACTTACGGAAAGAATGCCTCAAAGGTAGATCCAAATCCATAAATGTTGAAATAACAGCCTAGAGGCAAACTCTTTAGCAGCACAATCAGTGTTTCCTGAAGGAAGAGAGTAGGAGGAGGAGCCCGTGAGAGAGGGTCCTCTCAGACGCACAGATGCCAACCCAACCCTGAGGGTGTGGCCGTGCACCCCCATCCCTCCTCCAGGCCCTGTGTTCCAACGCCAGCCTCACAGTGTCTCCTTAGCTGTAGTTCAGCTGGAAACAGGCCCAAAGTTCCACATGGACTCTAGCTGAGCCCTTGAGTCTCATCCTCACTGGCGCACGTAAGCACGTGGCCACATGACCGGAAAGAGAAAGAACTAGCTTCACCTTGGCTGCCTGTATGCGCTCCTGAGACTTGTCCTGGTTATTCATGGGACACTGCATACTTCCTGAGCGGTCCATGAGGAAGACAAATTCTCCACACATCATCGGCGGCTGAGCTTCTGGGATATCTGGGTAGAAACTCACCATCGCAGATGGATCTCCCATCAGACAACCTACTCGGGAAGGAAAAGGACACTGTAAGAAGAAAAGGAACTCAAACATACACACTAACGACACCAAGAATCGATTGTAGTGACTTACAGAGCAAGCTGAGAAAACCCGAATATAAACCACGCTTTCACCTTTGTACTCTAACTTCCAGCAAAGGTTCTGAGGTGAGTTCGAAACATGTAAGTGGTAGAAGCAGCACAGGTGTTAAAGAGAATGAAGAGGTTAGAGGTTACCGGGAACAAGAAAACATTAAAATACTATAATTGGGTGCAAGTTTCCCAGCAGCTACGCAAATTAGTGAAATACATTAAGTTAAAATGTTCCAGCATTTGCCAGAAGAATCAACCTCACTGATTTGCAGAGACACATTCTCCTCAAATCAAATCAACAGGAAATTTATCACATGGGTTCTTGTTTAGCTCTCCAGTTACAGCTTTAAAGAAATGAGGGCCATGTGGACAATTCTTTGGTTGACAATGCATGAGAGCTGACCGCAAAATGAGTGTCGCACACACCAAGGACAGCCCGTCTGCTTGGGGTACGGCGCACTTCCCGATACCCTCCAGAACGAGAGAAGCACCGGGATGTGTGCTGGAACCATGATAGTATCACCCGAGCAGAGGATGGAGGAGACCGTGGGAGCGGGCCCGTGTCACCACGTTGTCAAAGCCATGGTTACGATTTTATTTTGAGGAGCACGTGAAAACTGAGGAATGGAAATGCTAGTTTTAAGACACAGGTGTAACGGGGATGGCTGATTTACATAAACTCTAGCCTCGCAGTTCAGAGAACGGGAGCAGACACAGAATCGAACGCCAGCATCCTGTCTGTGCCGCAGCCTTCCCCGGACGGCAGGCTTAGCTTCTCAGGGGCCCGGGACTCACCGTGACTACAGGGCTGACCGAGTCCACTCGCTTACACACAAAGTACTGCATTAGCCCAACTGCTTCCGACTACAAGGGCGAGGCTCAGCAAATATTTGACAGCACATCGGTTCAAGAATGACTTTTACATAACCCAGGTCTCTGGATATAAGGTAGCTGAGTATCCTTGCTTCGTCAAGGTAGTAATTACCTACGTCAAGTGTACATTTAGAATTAAGTGGCATAATTCACTTAAGGAACTCAATCTAGGGCTCGATTCAGAGTAAGCTTATAATTTCATAAAATTAAAGTTTTTGATACAATTATTGGTTTTAGATTGTAAACATAATTTTTTTTTAAAAAAAATCATGTTCTTAGTATGGTGAGTACATTCTAAGTTTAAGAAGTCTACTTTGCATTTTCATCACGGAGACAAACGTCCCCATTGGCAAAGCGCTAAATGGCTGAGGCGCTGCCAGCTACTCTGCACTTCTGAGTAGAGGTGGGAGCAGCAAGCCGTCTTGGCCACACACACACGATCTGGAAAGCAAGCCTTGAGTGGCCCAGCTGCAGGGGACTCACGAGGCTCCTCAAGGCTGCCCCCGACGTCCCCTGGTCTACACAGCTGCTCACTGGGGACCAAAGGCGCAATCTGCAAAGCGGCCGACAGACCTTCTTGGAGGGACAGGCACTGAGACCTCAATCCTTACCTTGTAAGATGCAACATTTTAAAACTCTCTCTGGCGGATTCAAATAATCCTGACGAAAACCTGGGTCACTGTTCTGGGAGTCTTTCAGGGGCACACAAGGGGAGCTCGCTAGAGGAGGGGAAAGCCAGGCAACTGATGTGCGAAGAAGACAGAGCGGGGAGCTCCATGGGACGGGAGCGAAGCACACCGGCTGAGGCCGGGACCGCCTCCAACAGGTTTAGCGGGGACGGCTTGCACGGGGAAACGATGGGGCAACGAGTGAGGGCAGGCTAAGGAGTTCCAACCTCTCAGCTCGGGGCTGAGGCTAGCTCGGCCGAAGGGTCCCAAGGACATAGAAGAATAGCCTATGGAAGACCAACTATAGCTAATTGTCTTCAGAGCAGCAGTAGTTACAGAAATACGAGCCTAGCCCAAGACGTAGTATTTGGCCGTGATGTTGCCCAAGCACGCGTCCGTGCCACCAATGTGGACCACGCTTCAGAAGGGGCAGTGTCCCCCGCCCCGGTTACCCCTCAGGGTCTCTGCAAGCGGGAAGAGGAAGCCCAGGAAGCCCCAAGAGCCCAACAGACTGACATGTGCTCTACCAGTGATAATCAAAAGTGCATACACACTAAGGAAAATCTAGACCACCAGAAAAATTAAAGAAATGTGAACACTGAGCCTATTAGGAAACTAAACTGAGACTTAGAAATTAAGACCCCAGGATAAGATTAGAAAGCTCTCAAGACAGATGGTGGTGACAAATACACCACAAGGTGAACGTGTGTCAGGCAACAGAACTAGATGTGGAAAATTATTATAATGGTAAAACGCCGGTTATATAAATTTTATTAATTTTAAATTTTACACATTTAGGCCAAATTACTAGTTTTCATATACTTAAAATTTATGTCATAAATTTTACCACAAAAAAAGAATTCTGGGTAACAATACTTGTTGGTTTGATAAATCAATACATAAGTTATTTATTAGATAAAACAAATTAAGAAAATAAGCTGGGTCTTAATCTAATCACAATTAATACTTGCATATCTCATGTGGTTTTAAATGTTTTTCTTAATCCATAGGTTGGATTCTTTTAGTAATCTGTCTGTTTACTTTTATTTAACAAACTCTGGAAGCCTTTTATTCCATATTATTTCAACCTGTGAAAATACATTATTTCGGTTGCTGCGAAATAACTCATCAAGTAATCCTACCATGCTGAATTTAGCTCCTCTAAGATATTTTGAGGACATTTAGTGAATACTTTTACTTACATTTAAATTTGTTTCCTTAGGTGACATTCTTAAAATTGGAATTACCAAAATGAACATTTATTTTGACACATGTGGCCAAATTCCTTCTCAAAAGCTTGATACCAAAGTATTTTGCTTAAAGCAATCTATGAGGGCACCAAATTCACCTCATCTTTTAGAGCGCGAGCCTTTACCAGATTTGAAAATCTTTGATCATTGGAAAAGTAAAAAGGTTACATCATTATTTTTATTGTATTTTCATTTATACTTGTAGAGATTGATTATTGTCACATGCTCATAACTTAGCCGTGTTTCCCTGTGCATTCTATTTCATGTCCTTTGTCCAATTATCTACTAACTCACTTCAATTTGCCTGTACGACACAGTCACATGGACATGATATTCATTGACCTGAACCATTTTTGCATCCCTTAGTGTAAGCTATTTCAGTTTTTTACCCGCTACTGGATAGAAGGAAGAAAAAGAAAGTGAGGTTAATCTGAGGGTAACTTAAAGACAAGGGTTCCCCCCATAGGAGGTAACTACCAAGGACGGAAGAAAACACCTGGCTTTGCTGTGGGGCTCCCCATCTCCACAGCTACACTGGGGGCGTGCACCTCGCTGTAGTAAATCAGAAGTTCCACATCTCGATCAAATTTGTGCCCATCAGCCAAGGAAACCTGGGATGGGGACAGGCAAAGAAGCCACGTTAGCACTATGGATGCCTGCAAGGATGGAGAGGAGGCTCTGGAGATTAATGCAGACAGGAAAATTAGGGGAGGGTCAGTCAGAGGGCGGTGGAGGACAAGGAACACAGGGTGATCCCCTTGGGTTCCTGGGGGAAAGCGCGGAACAGTGAGGAAAGCCTGAGCGAGGAAGAAGATCAGGACCCAAGGACAGGGTGCTGGCAACAACACTTTTCTCTTACTAATCACCTGAGCAGAAGTCTTATCTCCGAGGTACTCCATGGGACTCAAGGGGCAGTTGCACTGGATCCTCTCGATGCCGTGCTGGGAACTGACGGTGGCGACCAGGCTGAGCGTGTAGGGCAGGTCCCCCAGAGGGACTACAGGAATCCCCCCTCTCCTGCGGCCGTCCTACAGGAAGTTACCGTACTGTGGTTTCCCTTCCCACCCTTTCTGGCACCCCTACGCCCTTCAGGGGCTTTCCCAGGGCGCCACCCCCGCGACCCTCTGAGGAGGAGGGCACTCACTGGAGAGCTGGTACCGGGGATTCAGGATGGCCGGGAGCACGTAGCGCAGAGCCCCGTCTGCGTCCAGGGGCAGCTCCTGCACGTACTTCAGGGTGACCGCCGCCTTCGACCCAGGGGGCAGGTTCCCCACGTTACAAGAGAAGATGTCCCTGGAGTCCCTGTCCTCCTCCAAGAGGAAGGCTTGGTGGCCCTGGCTGAGGGCCTCCGCATAATTGGCGTGGGCCTAAGGAGACGAAGGAGAGAAAGGCGGTATCACAGGTGACGTGTTTGATGAGGAGATGAGGGGCACAGAAATGAAGCCTGGTGGGTGAGACGTCCGGTCTGGCCAAGTTCACAGCTGCACTTCGAGGGCCTCTGAGTGACTCTTCCCTCCGATGGTTTTAGGGGAGCGTCAGTCGGAGGGCAGTGCCGGACAAAGCACTCGGTATCAGCGCTTTCGTAAAGCCCGTCCGATACGGATCCTGAAGGGTACGCAACACAGGGAAAAAAGGGAAGCGATAATGTACTCATCCCTGGTACCTTCATCCTCTCCTGTAATTCCGCCACTATTTTCTTCCCGTCCACCAGGGCCTCAAAGCCGAAGACGGCCGAGTCTTCGTCCATGGGGAAAACAAAGAAGGCCTCCAAAGGAACGTTCTCCTCGTTCTCATAGTTTAAGGTAGCAGACACACCAGCCACAAACTCATGAATGGACACGGTCACAGAGATGCTCTTCAGGGGCACTGGAGACAGACCGGAGTTCAAGAGTTCAACAGCATTTAATACAACGTCTCCTGCGGGCCAGCATCGTGTTGGGTGCCATAGCTACAATGGCAAGGACGACTCACAAATCAGACTCACCTGGCTCATTTTGGCGCGTTATTAGACCACAGGCGCACACCATGGTGGCACAGCGTTGCTGTGGAAGAGACACATCGTGAACAGAGGGCCATGGTGGGGATTATCTATTCAAACACCAGTACCTTGTGTGCTTCTCTCGGGCGAAAAACTCTATTCAGAGGGCTAATGATGGAACTAGGAAGGAGAAAGTAGCTGAAAAGAAGGGGACAAAGTGCCACTAGTAAGGCTCGTTTTCAATGCCCGGCCCAGGTTGAAAGCTGTCAAAGTCGCCAAGTGCCTGCTAAACAGGAAATCTCTGAAACACCCTAAGGCTGGTTCAAACACCAGGTCCGCCTTTCGGAAGTGCACTGACGATACCAGTCCGTAGGTGTATTCAGTAGGTGATTAACTTAATCCCCTCTGAACCTCAGTATTCTTTCGAAAATGAAAATCCTAATAACCTGCACATCATATATGCATCTGTGAACTAATACGTATGAAGTTTTAGAATGGGGCCTGGCCTATAGGAAGCATTTTAATCAATGACAATGCACATTAATATCGTTCTTCTTACTATTGCGAATAGAACTTGGCTGTTCCTTTGCATCATGCTATTCAGAGACCTGCGCTTAAGAAGTTGCCTGATACCAAAGGGCCCCATGCAACTTAGATAACTTATCTCATACCTTTTCCTTTGTGGTTTATAATTGAAAGCACTGTTTGTTTTCTGTCCAAGATATTAATATAGCATATATTCAACATGTCCTCTATTTTATGTCAGGCCATCCTACACATACCTTCCAAATTTTATTATTCTCTTAGACAACCATTTCATGTGATATAGCACCACAAAATGTATGCACATGGGTTACAACTGACTTTATAACCTTTGAATCCAAACAATCAACAGGTGGCTCTGGTCCTAGTCTCTGGCCCTGAAGTCACAGGAAGCCGCCCTCCAAACCATTCTGAACTGAGTCATCAGGGAGCTGCCTCTCCCTGCCTGTCGCAGGCTGACCTCAGCTGCAACCTCCAGCACCCATCAGGGGGGGATTTTTACTGAAAATAAACATTAGGGAACCAACATGTAATTGCCAGGAACAGAGAGAATGCGGAAGTGAATCTAATGCACTTACCTGGAGCCCCAGGGTCCCACTGGGGACCCAAATTATCATTCAGGAGCCCACAGGCCAGAAAAGCAGGCCGGCTCTTGAGAAAGGTAACTTTCCTTCCCTGAGCAACCACCCCGCACCCCCCAGCCCCCTAAGGGGCTCCTAAGCTTGTGGCAGGACTATCTCAGGCCCTCTGTGCACACCCCAACCACCATAAAATGTGGGCCCTACTCAATCAGCCCGGAGCAAAGGCCCCGCGCTCACCCATCTGGCAGCAATGGTGTGTCTTGTACACCACGCCCCATATCTACAGGTCAGCGCCAGTAAATCAGGCTTTTTGTGTTGTGTCTGTTTCTATTCTGAGGAACTGGGTAAAGATGGACTGGGCAGCAGGGCTCCTACGGAATCGACACAGGGAGGGCCGCCCCTGGCTGTGGGGAGAGGAAGGCGGGCTCAGGCACAGGGTTTCCCTGCACACACTTGACCAGGTATGTCCCCTGGTAACACCTGCTGTGCCTGGGGGAGGGAAGAAACCCTAGGAACCCCAGCGGGGAGCTCCAAGCAGGGGAAGACAAGGAGAGAGGGGTGCGGACCTGAAGAAACTGCCGAGCCACCAGATCTGTCTCTGGGCAGCACTGGCCACGGGTGGCTTCAGGTGAACAGACTGAGCAAGGGGTGTGTGTCCTGCAAAGAAATAGGCTTCCTTTCCGATTCCAACCGAACACATCCCTCAAGGGGGAATCGTGCCTTCCTGCGCCGGCTCCCCCACTCTTCCCAGTGCACCCTCTGCTGGCTCTGAGTTAGTCCTCCCGGGTCAGGGTAGCATTTCGGAAACGAACGTGGCCTCGCGTAGGCAGACCGGCCACAGCAGCGGAGTCTTGAACCCCAGGCCGCTGGGAGAACAGGGGCGGATCCGCGAACCCAAGGCCTGCGCCAGGCGGGACCCTCCGGTTCCGGGGCCCGGCCCCGGGGTCCTCCCGCGGGGGCGCCGGAGGCACAGCGGCCACACCCTGCAGCCCGCGGGCCCGACCGAAGCAGAACCCGGGATGCGACGCCGGAGGCCAGCTGGGCGCCGAGTGCCGCTTCCGTAAGACCCGGGAGTGACTTAACTTTCACCCTTTCCGTCCTAGAGTTTCAGCATCCAGGTATCGACAGAAGGGGTCTGAGCTGTTCCCCTGAATTTCTATACATAAGGGTGTGGGGGCTGCACTCCGATTAGATGGGGGTGGGGGGGGGGCGGCGTGGAGCTCCATTTCCACAGAACAAAATTAAATAAAACTGAGGAAACACCGATTGTCCACAGGAAAGAGGGACAAAAAGAGAAGACGAGTGAGACAGAACGAAAAGAGGAGTGGGAAAAGGGGCCTTGGCATTATAGGCGATGCCTAAATCCCACCTCCAGCCCCCACCAGCTTCCCCCAACCTGCCACACCCGCCGAAGCCCCCGGCGGGGCGGGCTCGCACGAGGGACTCAATTCTGTGCCCCGAGGGCCGGCACAACCCTGCCTCGCAGATCTGCAGATGGAGAGGGGGGTTAGGAGGGGCGGGTCCGGGGCGTCAGGGACGAGACGGGATCCAGCCCCGGCGCTGCCGCTGGGCACCTACCTTCCGTGGCCTTCCTGGTCCCGAGCTTGTGAGCGTCCGACCCCCTGAGTCGCAGGGAAAAGAAAAAAACTGCAGTCAAAAGCTCCAGGAAAGCCTGCCCACTTTTAGGGACCGGTGATAAAGTGCGACGGCATGACTAAGGGATCGAGGGGAAGTTCCTAAGCAAATATTCTAGCTTTCGCTTTCCTCTGGGTCAAAGGAAAATTTTTCAAGACTGGGAAGGTTTTCTTTTTCCTTTGCCTGGTCTAGGCCAAGGGACAATCAGAGGACAAGCAAACGGAATGGATTATTTTCCAAGTGATAATGCTGTAATAGTATCATCAACAATGACATCACACACTACGTTTCTGTAATAGACCTCATTACCAAGGGGCTGTGTTCTAGGCGCTCCTAGAAATACTGTGTGTGGGTCCTGAACTTTATGGGCTCTGTATCATTGTTTTATCTCTGATCTGAGTCACTTTTCCCAAGATCGTATCCTCTCTAGGGCATGGGTGGCGGGAGGGGAGGGGCAGGTGAGGAGCCAGGACATTGTGCACAGGGATCAAGTCTTGAGTCATGAGTCTCTTACGTTTTTGTTTTTGTTTTTTTTTTTTTTTATTGTTATTCAGTTACAGTTGTCACAACTTTTCCCCCACTTAGGGGTTTTTCATCACGGGTTTTCATCAGAATCTTAAACCTTGTGGTGGGGGAAGGGGACAGGGGGCAAATAATGTAGGTAATTGAGAGAATTTCTGTGCTTATTTTCCTGGCTCAGGGACTCTAGAGATGAAGTTCCCTATGTCTTTTCAATTTGAAGATGACTGATTAAATCGGAGGCTTAAAGAAAGTCACAGCACTGCTGAGAATCTGTGAAGGGGAAAGAATGTATGTATTGATGACTCAGGTTGATTTCGGTCTCTGCAATTCACTCATTGTGACACATTTGCTGTCTTTGAGTTTGTTCTCTTTCTGTGAAATGGGGATAAGGACACACCTACACCTCCCTGAGCTGTTTTTTAAAATCCAGCGGATCTCAACAGATGTGAAAGTAACCCACTCCGCGCACACACACACTAAAGCACACTACAAGCCCAAGTTCTGTTTTATTAGTACTAGGCCCTGGAACCATGTTCTTTACATGTATCAAGCTCATTGTGAAAGGGAACAATCCTTTTCTCTTGATAGAGACCATATCCAGCATTGTTTCTTCTGCTTGCAACTGCTTTCTGTTGGCTGAAGATTCTGGGCCACAACAGAGAGAAGCTGGAAAAGTAGGCAGAGTTTGTCATCTGATCCAGCTCGACTGCTGAGGTGACAACTAGAAGCCTGCCACCGATCAGACATGGCAGCTTGGTTGGAAAGAACACGTATGTATGGATCAGGAAACATGTATGCGATGCTGGTTTTTGGAAGGGCATTTATATGTAAAGTCTCTGAAGCATATATATATATATATATAACACACACACACATATATACACACATACAACTAAACATTTATAGCTATTAAAATATGAATGCATTTTAACTATTTATACATATTTTGTTTAAACATGATAAATAATTTTACCCTTTTTGTATAAACTATTTAATGAACCCAATGATCAAACTTTTAAAAGAGAAGCACATATAATAATTCCTTTTTCCTAGTCAACATGTACTTACCAGGCTTCTACTATATGCAAGGCATTGTTCTAGACATTGGTACTATGGTACTAACAAGACAAAAATTTTCATTGACCTGGAGCTTACATTGCAGGAGATGGAAATATTCAATAAACAAATAAGGAAATAAAGAAACAAGAAAATGTGCAGTAGTCCAAGTGCTTAAAGAGAATACAACATGTGGTATAATAGAGAATAGAGGCTACTTTAGATTAGGTATCGCCACCCAAAAACCTGCCCGTGCAACTTAATGTTGCTAAGTATTCTCCAAAACTGATTCTCAAGTTCAGCGAAGTTGAAACAAGCTTATGGTCATTCGGAATAAAGACATGTCCTCATCTTCCTTACAGTTGGGTGTGACCTTCTCCCTACCTCCCGGCCCACAGGGCCCAAGAAGCCGTGTGCGCAGCAGGTCATCACACTTCCAGAGAAAAGAGCGCGGCCTCCGCTCCACGTGCCCTCTTCCCACTCACTGGAGAGACTGCCAACGTCTTCTGAGCCTTTTTCGGGCCATGAGCACTATGATGATACCCCAGGAATGGAGAAGAAACAAGATAAAAGGGCCCTCAGTCCCTGAGACTTAGCTGGAGTAGAACTGCTGTATTAGCATAGACCTTTACAAAGAAGAAGAAGTATTTTCTATGATTTGTGACTGTTACTGGGCTCAGTGCCACACAATCCTTATCCTACCTGATTATACTCAATAAAAAGTTGAAAG